AGGTTCTCAAGGTAAAGAGCTGAGAAACAGCCCTTCCTGACTATGGCAGGAGAAGGGGCAAAGAAGAGGAATCATTTTGAAATACACCCAGAGCCTTCTCCATAATACAAACCTATGTCCAGGGGGAGGGACTTGGTCAGAGACTCATCCCAGCTGTTAGAGGGCATTCCTCCCAATCCAGCCTCTCTAGCCTTACTCTCTCACCTAAGGGCGCATGAGGAAATGAAACACTGTCATCAGGTTAGAGCTTCAAGGAAATAGATCGGGCATGCTGCAACCAGAAAGGGACTAGGAGAATGAGGAATAAAGCTGTCCCAGTGGAGAAACACTTGGGAAGGTTACAGCCTGAGAAACTGAGATTTTATCAGAAGGTTTTGGAACAGTCCCCCATTTAGTACACCTTCCCACCAATCCAACAGAGATCCAGTAGAATAGCTGTAGCTTACAGCAGAAAGAACTGAAGACACAAACTTTCTGGGAGGAGGGGTACTTAGGGAAGTCCAAAGTCAAGAGGGAAAAAACCAACCTCAATGAGAACACAAAAGGAACTTGAATCCTGTGGCTCCTGTAACTACAGCAAACCTTAAGCACACCCCAACTTTTAACCAGATTAACAGAAATCCTACACTAAAGGTCTGTTCATCTCAGTTCCTATTACACAAATCAACATGGTCGGCTTACAACAGAAATTTATCAGTGATACATGTCAATTATGTCTCAGTAAAACTGGGAGAAAAAATGAAAAAGGACTAGACGGCATGCCAAAGGAAAACTAAAAACAAACACCAAAACATAGTCTATAGATGAAAAGCACACAACAGAACCAGACTCAGATATGACACAGATATTGGAATTTAGACAAGGAATTTAAAATAACTGATTAATACATAATGTCTCTAATGTAAAACGTAAACAACATGAAAAAGAGATCAGTAATGCAAGCAGAGAGATGGAAACTCTAAGAATCAAAAGGAATGATAGCTATAAAAAACACAGTAACAGAAATGGAGAATGCCTCTAATGGGTTCATCCATTAATTTAACTCATCTGAAGAATAAATCGCTGAGCTTGTATATAGATTACTAGAACATTTCCAAATTGAAATTCAAGCAGAAAAAAAATTGAACAAACAATAACAACAAAACATCTAAGAACCATGCTACAATTTCAATATTCATAATTGGAATATCAGAAGAAGTGAGAAGAGGCCAGAACTATTTGAGGTAATAATGGCTGAGAACTTTCCAAATATGAAGGACCAAATCATAGATCCAAAAAGCTCAGAGAATACCATGGAGGATAAATACAAAACAAAACAAACAAAAAACCAACCAACAAACCAAAAGCATATGTAGTCATATCATATTCAAACTTCAGTAAAGCAAAAGCAAAGAGAAAATGTAGGAAAAACAAGAGGAGAAAAAAAACCAACCACTTTAACAACAGATGAACAATAGCCAAAGTAGTTTTTTAAACCAGAAAGACTGATCATATCATTACCCCGTTTAAAACGAACCCTGTATGTAATGGTTGCCATTGTGCTTGAAAAGGAGTTACATCATCTTCACAACAGGCCCTCAGTAGCCTGGCTCCAGCCTCCCTGTCTGGCCTCATCTTCCATGAAACCCTTACTTTCTACCTTCCCATCCTGCAAGCTTGTTTCCATTCCTCTCGAATGCCACCTTTCTCCTCGCCCCTGGGCTTTCGTGCATGTACTTTCCTAAGTCTGGTTATTTCCTCTTGTCTAGTGACCTCTTCAACTTTTCCTCTTGTTTTCTTAGGAAAGCCTAACCCAATTTCCTACTCTAGGGAGATCATCTGATTGCAGTTCATCGTAACTGTGGCCCAGTTGTGATGTTAGTTTACCTTGTACTTTAATAAAAAAAAAAAAGTCTCTCATTTGGTTTTGCTCATGTTCCATTCACAGCTGCACAGCGCCTGGCACAAAATGGGGGCTAAACGCGTGCTTGCTTTATAATAAATGAAGAAATAGAATTCTTGCAATTATCCTAATAGATCAATGTTTATCCATTACAGATCACTGGGGGAGTGGTTTCAATAAATATTTAATAATTCATTTAAAAACTCTTTAAGGACCTCCTACCCTCTACTAGGCACCCTTTTACATTTTGGGGAAGAAGGCACAAAGGCTTTAATCCATATAGTTGATTGGGGTACACAGTCATGGAAACCAGCAGAAAATTCAAAATGGACGCGATCTGGTAGACACATGCTAGGGCCAGGCTCTGGGTGCCTGTAGGGGTATCCTGCACAACTAACAAGCTGAGCTGTGTGTACTACAGCATTAGTAGACTGCACTCGGGGTGCGGTTGTTTTGTTTATCAGTGTGTTCTCAGTGCCTACAAAAGTACCTGGCATTTAGTACGCACCCGATAACTTACTGAGAGAAGGAATTGGAATTAGCTAAATAACAAATAGGGATGAGCAACAAGAAAAAGACTCGAGTCAGAGGAAACAGTAGGTCGCCCAGACCGATAGAATATTCATATCTTTGCAATGTCATCCTGGGATATGAAAACGGCTTCATTTAGATTTTAAGAGCTTTTCACTGAGAAAAGGATTTCAGGAAGAAAATGGTTTGGGGAAAAGGATATGAGTTTTGGATTCTTTAAAATCCATGATATATTCAGCTAAGCAAACAGAAAAATTTGTGATCCCTCACAGGGTTGTCCACACTATAATTAACCTTTCAAGCATTTTCTTCTATTGGGTTGTCAGAAAAGTCATGACGCATTTTTGCAACGAAAAACAGAAAAAATACGTCATGACTTTTCTGACAACCCAATATTTAGATCATAATCAATAGTTTCTAAAGGCTCACAAATATTAAATTAGTGGAGTTTGAGTTAATTAGGTTTTGTGACAAAAATATGTTGTTAGCCAAGTTCTAATTTCTGTCTCTAACACATAGAAGTTTCAACATTTTTATCATTCATATGTAATACAGTTATGTGTTAAAACCTCAACCTTAAAAATAAAATTGCAGCCTTTCATAGTGCACTTATACTGTATTTGTAAACGTTATTTTATTATTATTATTTTTAAGGGGCAGCATTATTCCTTTGTCCATTAGGTTGAAAGGGGGAAAAAATCAAAACTATTATGTCTGTTGTTTCTGCCATTTCTACAAGTAACCAGCAGATGGTATCAAACAATTTTGCATTTCTGTTCTATGACAGTTTTTGTGCCTGTTTGATTTCTGAGACTTTTCCTTCCTAACTACCAGCCCACAATCCAATCACAAATACTCACACACAAGCATTTCATGGCGATAAAGATCTAAAGAAGGATTTTACTTCATTTCATTTTTCTGATTTAAATCTTTTTTGACTCTGCTTTCAGGGTGATACTTTTTTCGCACATGCCCTGAGATTTCTTTCTATAATACAGATGCTGCTTTATATACAGTAAATCACTGTTGCTCTAATGACACTATGGGAACACACTATTCGCAATCCCCACTTCACAAACGAGGAAACTGGAACCAAAGAGGCTAGGGCATTTCCCCAAGGTCATAAGATTAGAACTCAGGCATCTGGCCTTGGAGCCTACAGTGTCAGTCTCCGTGCTGAAATCAGTTCTCCTGATTTGATTTTCTTCTTTCAGTGCATAACTTCACTCAACACCTATCCTTTCCTTTGACACCATTTGCTCAGCTACTATGAGTTGAGGTTTTTGACACCTACACGTTGAAATAAGAGATTGTACATAGAATAAAACCAGAATATAAAAGAGCTATATGTTGGTTATCGTCTGTGTATGGGGAATGGTCACATAGGTTTCACATAAGCATTGGATTTCAGTGCTAAAAGCTTTAAGACGCTTGCCTTTTATTTTACTGAGAAAGAAATTTAAGCTGCAAAAAAAGCATTGAATTTTAGTAGTAACACAGAGGTGATAAGGGAAGAAACAGTCTGTTAAAGAAATGTTGTGGAAACATTCCTGTATGGAGGCCCTACTAGGAATAGAAAAATGTCCATTGTTGGGAGACAGGTGTGTGGAAGTTTGTGGGCTTTGCAGGTAAAGTGCACCTCTTTATGTAATACACAGCTCTTCTACTTACATTGTTATGGGACCAGGCTAGGCTGACTAGCAGTCAGGAAAGCTGGAGTATGAGAATCTTACCCTTCCATTGAAAAGAGAAAAGAGAAAGGAGGGAGGGAAAGAGGAAGGAACTTATAGTCAGTGTTAACAATTTTATCGTCTAGTTTCCAAAAGGAGGTGAAAGAAAATAAAATTTAGATATGGGGAAGATCTGAATATGGTGAAAAGTAGTATCTGTAGATTCATACTGAAGTTTCTAGAACATTTTATTGACTTATGACCCCCAACAGTGCATGAGGGCAACTAGATTATTTTTTAAACCTACAGAAATTTAAAATATTCCTTAAAAGTAGTGTATTACATTTTACAAGGCTTTGGTTTTAGTTGCTTGGTTTATTTTTTATAGATTCTAACCTTCATCATGGAAGAAATAATGTCCTCACAGTGCTAAGCAATCCAGAATTCATTTCATACTTAGGTAATTATACTTAGAATGAAGAACTTCTTAATCGTAGTTCCATTTTAATCACTGTGATGGATGATTGGTCCATTGCCTAGCATGATTCAAGTAAATGATGAACAAATTAATGTGAGGCTTTCTGTAGGATTTAAAAAAAATAATATTAATGGGCAATAGGTCAATTTAAAGTTTTGACTCTTCCTCACAGGAAATTCTACTTCAGTCTCAGCGTCCTTTTAACCTTCATAGTACTTAAGAAGAGAAAGACAAAGGAATTCCTACAAACAAAATGAAAACTCAAAGCATTTCAGGGTCATCTCTTCAGGTTTCTTGGTTTTCTTTTTGTTCTTTTTTTAGTGGATACAAGTGACCCTAAAAACTTCTTTGAACAAAAGAAAAACAAAACCAACCAAATTGCTTCCAGTGCTGCCCTGTAGTGTCTGTTGATGTTTTCCGTTCCTCTTTCCTCCTGCAGGTGTAACCACTGTTCTAACCATGACGACTCTGAGCATCAGCGCCCGGAATTCTCTCCCCAAAGTGGCTTATGCAACTGCCATGGACTGGTTCATTGCCGTTTGTTATGCATTTGTGTTCTCTGCCCTAATTGAATTTGCAACTGTTAATTACTTCACCAAAAGAGGATGGGCTTGGGATGGGAAGAGTGTAGTAAATGACAAGGTAAGTGAGAACTTTCTTCTCGCCATGATTAAGAGAATCCCCTGGCGGATTTAGCGTATAGCAGCTACTTATAATAGATACAGTCCTAAAAATTGACATATATGTCTATATATATGTCTATAGAGATATATAGACATATATCTCTAAAATTATGATTTATGTTTGAATATATATATATGTGTATATATGTATATATGTGTGTATGCACATATATATGAATCATACATTTTCTTTTAAAGTGTGCTGTTGCCTGAAATTCTTTAAGAGTGCTCGTAGCAGTGATACTTCTATTAAAACCACTCCCTAGCACCTGGTGAGCTCTGACAGTGTGTCATGTACTGTGCTAAGATTTTTTTTAACGTATACTCTGTGATAGAATCTTCACATCAGCTTTCTAGCTAGAGTCTTTTCAATTCTTTCTCTCTTTTTTTCTGGTGAAGAAGCTGGGGCTTAGTGAAGCTCCTTACTTGCCAGAGCTCACCCAAGTAGGTAATAAGTGTACTTGAACCCAGGTCCGCCTGATCATTAAATTCACGCTCTTGAACCCCCCACTGCTTCATCTTAAAGAGATTTGGAAAGGGAAGTGGGTGTTGCCTTTACCTGCTATAGGATTTCAGGTCCTTTCGGTGGGTTGAAGTCCTCTTCATGTACCCCCATCCCTGATGCTTGGATGTAAAAGTCCACACACATTGGTACCTCTCCCATGTTATAGGGAAAAAGAAGTAGGTGCTGAAATGCATAGAAATGTTAAGTTGCTCATGTAGTCTCTAGTGAAAATTATTTATTTTAAACACTAACTTCTTTCAGGATTATTGGTGTCTATTTTTAGGTTTCAAGCACTGAAGCTAGTGGGAGTTTTGTGCATTGATATACCAAGTGTTCCCTTTCTTATTCTATAGATTATTATCCACCTGATGTAAGAGGAGTCTTTGGATATATCATAATTAGCTATAACGCTTTCTTAATAGGAGTTAGAAGTCCTACTTGGAGGATTTCTTTTAGCAATATATCTATTTAATTGCTCTCCCATTAAATTTGGAATAACATACTTGCTGGTTTCATTTCTTTTGCAGTTATCTGAATATAAATGTTTATCCTCATTTCTATGACCATTTTGCAGTCTAAGCATTCAAACATGGTATTGTTTAAAAGTCCTGCTCTTGTCCCTTAATTTGTAAAGTGTAGAAGTTTTAATGAGTTCCAGTTTATTTCATTTTAAAGCTATGTTTTGCATACTAACAGCCAATGAGAAAATATTAAAAGGAATATGATTAATTTTCTATGCATAACCTCCAGGTTATTTCAGCATTTCCATTACATTTTATTGTTGATTTATGTTTTCATTACCCATATAGTATACTGCTTTTTCATTGCTATCTATGAAATTACTTCTTTATAGTTATATTAGTTATACATGCACTTTCATATTAACATCTTTTTGAAGATAGTTAGCTAGCCCTTTGTAAGTATGTCACAAGAGATAAATAGTGGCTTGTGGTATAAATGCTCCATATAGAAAATTATTGATATGTAGTATTTTAATACTATGAGGGTGCTTAATTTACATTGTAATTTGGCATATCAAATACTATGCCTTCTCAACTACAATGCCTTCTCTACTTCAATTTGAAAAAATAGAAGTACCTGTAAATGTAAAAACACATTCTTGAAAAAGCATTCTAAAAGCAATACCCTACTACTAATGAATACTGGATTTAACTCTACCTATGTATCCAATCACTCATAGTGAAGATAAATTTACAATAGGCCAAATCCATTGATGTCCCAACCTAATTTTCAGGAGAACAACTAATAAAGTTTATATTATATCAGTTCTCACTGGTTCACAAGTTTAGTGATTAAGTTAAAGAAAACATTACATTAGGCACATCGCTTGTTCTTATTTACGTTTTCATAGCTGGACTGCCAAACACAGTGCCAGGTACTTCAGAAATTTTTGTTGAATAAAAGAATAAACACTTCTGATATTAAATCTGGCAATGTAATACCAATGAGAAGACTTCTTTTCCTTCATAAGAAAGCTTTTAAAACTTGTAATGGTGAATTTATCAATGGGTACTTAATCTAATTTCATGATTCAAATGAATTTTGGAAAGTGTTTTCTAAACTTACCTGGGAAATACCAAGTCCTTAGACTTGAAAAGAAATTAAGTAAAGAGCCCTAAACTAGCCATCTTCCTAAAATATATATATTTCAATGCAATGTACTTATGTTTTAGTTTTCCTTAAATTTAATTTTTAAGGAGAAAATAATATTTTTCTAGAGATACAGAGTTATAATCTACAGGCTGTAGACTAGTGAAGTCCTCTGCTTTCAAAGTTGATAAACATGTGTAAATTCAGTTAAATTATCCATCAATCCAAAGAGCATATGAAAAGTCCTTGAAAAATTTTTAACTGACAAGTATTAATTTGCCTTATAAGAATAATCAGTGATATATATATATATATATATATATATATATATATATATATCTCCAAAAAATGTATATACATTTTAAGGAATGAAAAAACTGTAATAAAATTATGTTGATGGTAACCACTTTGAGCACCTCTTATAATTGCAGAAGTCAAATGTGACTTGTATTCATCTTTTGTTATCAGTATATATTAAGTATTACAATTTTAATACAGTTTTTTCCATTCTTAAAATGTGTATACACTTTTTTGGCACCGTTTTTTTTTGGCACCCTCTATATATATATTATGTTTGAAAAAATAAATATGTAGTTAACATACAGTTTACATATAGATTGTGCTCTGATGATCTTTAAAGTTGAATAAACAAATCTCCTCAGTTTATATTCAAGTTACATTTGAGCCCTCTATTTGAAGACAAAGGCTACCTTGCTTTATAATATTGGGCAAGATTTCACATTACTTTTTGCCTCAGGTATGAAATTAGACAAAACCGTATCATTGTAAAAATGCAATGCTGGATCAAATAATCCAACTTTTATTTCCTTCTATATACAAAAGTATCTATTTATGTAACCCCTTAAGTTCTTCTGGAACTTTCCGTTACACCCAATGTTCTTCCATTTGCCTGAGATTAATTATTCTATTCCAACCCTTGGTTCCTTTCCTTCTTGTTCCTTTCTCAAAATTGATCCATTGGTTGTTAAATTCTTCTCTTAGTTCTTCAAAGCCATCTTCTGCTTTTTAACTGCCTCCTTCCTTTTAGTTTATGAAGATGCTGAATATTTATGATTTACCATAAAGACAAAAAGAAAACTCTCTCCAGATTCTATGTCACCCATTCCTCCATACTCAGATTTTACCCTCTTTTTCTTCATTTGAACTTTCTGAAAGCATTGCTCACTTTCAATTTAATTCTCAACCAACTGTAATCTGATTTCCTTTCTATCTATTGTTCTATAACTGAAGGGCATCAATAACCTTCACAATTTCAGGTCAGATGATGATTTTCCATTTTTCTTAATGGATTCCCCATTGAACCCAGTGAATACTGTTATACTCCAGAAGTATATTTCGGGCCCAATTCAGCAACTTTTCCTCTTCTTTTCCTCTTTAAAATGAGCCTGAGAATCTCAGCTTTCTTCCCTCAAAATCTGGCAGCTGCCACTATTCATTCTATTCTTTGAGATTCTCTGCCCGAGTTCAGAGTGGATCCAGTCTCCATACCATCTGCTCTTGTTTATCCCCAAAGACAGTCATTTGACTTTATTTTATGTTGTTTCTGTTTTAACAATTCACTATGTTCTCTCACTTTAAGGGTTTTACTGAAAATATTTGTAGGAATGTCTGCAACAATAAGCACGCTGTCCACCCATTTTACTATTCCCAAATAGATAATTCCCACTCATCCTCAGCACAAATATCAATCCAAAGGAAATTTCTGATTTTTTTTCTTCCCTCCAAATGATTATATCTCTTTATAAGTTTGTCTAGTGTCCTCTTCTTTTGTATTAGAGCCTTTATCACAGTATGTAATTGCATATTCATGTCTTATTCATCAATCATGATAACAATGACTATATTTATTAATAAATCACTTATCCCTGTCCCTTTGCACGAGGCTTTCTACATATTAGGTGCTCAATAAATATGGTATGGATAAATGAAGTATAAAAAAATGAAATTTACAACCCACAGCTTTATCTTACCTTCCACAGTTATTATCTACAACTTCACTCCACACCTTTCTTTTAACTTACAGGTTCAGTATGCCCAACCTGTACCCTAGGCATTTTTACTTGTACCTAACATTGCAGTCTTTACATATATTTTTTAAAAGATGGAAGAAACAACAAACAAAACAAACCTAAATTCATTTTACATCTTCCCCCAGCCCATGCCTATTTTTTCTCTATACCTCCGTTCATGGGAAAACCTAGTATATCACACACCAAAAACTTGGAAGCATCTCTTAACATCTAACCAATCATCAAATGATGTCCATCCTCTAACTTATGTATTTGTCCTAGATTGTGTCCTTACCATCTCTCATTATTTTGACTCTCTTTACTTCTTATTATCTCTAATCATGTCTCCCTTGAATCCATCCTCTACATTAGTTCCAGGGTTATCTTCCTAAAACAGAAATCTGATCATTCAATTTCTCAGCTTTTTAATGAATTGTCAAAGGCACTTCTTCAAGCAGCTCAGCTAGTATGGTCCAAGTATATATTGGGTCCTTGGGAAAGTCATGACATATTTTTCTATGGTTTTCAATGCAAAAATGCATCATGACTTTCTCGACAACTCAATATCTTTTTCATCTATTGATTTGCATGATGAATAGTAAGGAAATATTTTTGTTATTTGTGTGTGTGTGCTTAGTACTATATGCCTGGGAATATCTCCATTTTAGAAACTGAGGAAATATAGGATTGGTCAAGTAAAGTTACTTGCTCAGGATCACATTTCTAAACACAGATTTAAAGCCTGTGCTCATATTCTTCCTCTGGCCATTACACGCATCCCGAAATGCCTGTGCCTCTGCACATCTGTAGAAC